GCTGTTCTTTTGACGTCTGCACGACTTCGTGTGCTGCAGAGAACAAGAGGGATTGGAACCGACTCTCTTGAGGACCTTTAAATACATCCCAGTACAACCCCATACAACCCGCAGCCCCAAACCCTGCAAAGCCAAAGAGCCACAGCACAGAGACCCTATGAACCTTGAACCCTTCAAAGAACCACTTCAACCCCAAACCCTAAACCCTGAAGTCTTCAACGCTGCTTCCCAAATCCTAAGCCCTAAACTCCTCAAAGTCCTCAGCCCAAAACAGGACTCCGTGATGTCCAGCCCCGTCCAGCTCAGCCCACGGAGCTGCTCCGGCCGTTACTACAAGGGTTTAGGGTTTCGAGTTCTGGTAGGGGCTTCTGGTTGAGGGAGGAGACACCCCTTGTTTTGGTCCTTTTTTCTGTAGTTTGCGTGTTTGGGCTTTGTGGTTTTGGCGCTTTTGGGGCTGGCGCTTGGGGGGTTTGTGTAGCTTTCTTGGTATACGAAGAATAGATTGAAACATTCAAGAGGGGCTGGGCAAGTTTAGGGGATCCGGGGAGTTAGAGGCGGCGAAGCCTGGCAAGCATGTTGGGAATGCGGAGGTTGCCCTGTCTACTTCGACATGCCCTCTTTCAAACTGAAGCATGATGTAACCGTGCTGCTGAACACACACACACACACACACAAATGGTGGCGTCCACGAGAGCTGGCCTGAAGTGTACTAGCATAAGGCTAGAGCTGTTATGCAACTTGATGCAACTTGCTACTTGATAGGGAACCCTTAAGCATCACCTCCATTGTCATCACCATCCTGTTCCTGATCATCACCATTGTCGTCCTTTTCCTCAGGCTCCGCATCTCGTACACTGGCTATCGCTAATGCCGCAGGAACAGTTTTTAACTCGAGCCTAGAGTGCAGCGCCTCTTCTTTTGCCGCAGCCAGGCTCTGTCGGGGACTCGGAGCCCGACTGCCAGCCGAAGGCCTACCTTGACATTGACACGGAAGGTTGGGCCGACTCTTCCAGTGTTCTGGCGTTCTTGAAAAGCCCGAGCTCTTCAGCCGTCAAGCTCCCTGCAAGGTATGGTCGTGCAATCTGCGTCTCAGCCACTGATGGCCAGAGCTGGCACGGCCTGCACGGATCTTTTCCCTTCTCCGCACATGACGCTCGAGCATTTTCAGAATTCGTTTTCGATTCGGTGAAATGCAGCAGGCGATGCAGACGAATGTTTTTGCCATGAGCCAGAAGCCCAGGACAATGCTTCTAAATCAGCTCCGCAAAGAGGTGCAGCGGCTGCGAAATTGAAAAGAGAGGAGTGTTTGCCTTGCCCCTTGCGTGCCTGAGGGCCCTAAAGCATTGCCAAGCCAGTAAATCCCTAAACCATCCTACATCCAAAATCCCCTAACCTTCAATCTTAGATGCATCTTAGGCTTGTAAGTGCGAGCCTTGGCTCGCTAATCTTGCATGCCCTGAGCCCACAGTGCCCTAAACCCTAAAGGCCCTAAACCCTAAGCCGTCACTCCAGAGAGGCCGAGTTGTTTGCAAAACGCGGGGAGGATCCTCCGATGAGGGTTCTGAGCTACCAGGTCGGGGGACAACCGGGAGCAGTCGAAAATCGGAAGGCTTTGGGGTTTAGGCTTCGGGGTTTAGAGTTTAGGTTTAATGGTTCAGGGTTCAGGGAGACTTAATGCTCAGAGCTTCGCAACTTTTTGGGTTTGAGATCGAGCATAAATCCGGCAGTAGTGCCGTTCAGGACATGCCCGTCATTTTCAACGCACCTCACGTCAATCGCATCACGGGGAACATGCAGATCACGCAGACTCGCTTCGGCCGCTTCAACGTGCTCCTGACCTTCTCCCGACCCAATATCAGGCCTCTGCAGGAAAAAGCCGAGTCCGGTAGCAGGGTTCCCGGTTCCTCAGGTCGCTAAGGCCTTTTTTGACCTCTTCTTGCCCCGGAGCATTGTGTTATACATGCTATCTTGCATATCATATTAAATTATCTGGTCTCGCATCATATTGGAAAGTATTCCTGCAGTACTTATAATCTCACGAGGCCGGAGCCAGAGGCGCGGAAGATCCCAGTCGCCACTCTCGAGGGACACTCTGAGCCTGCCAGGGCGAAGGATGCGAAGGTGACCGTGATTTTGTGAATCTGGCGAAAAGCCGTCCAGTGAACTTTTGCGAGATTTCTAAATTAGGCATTCCGCTGGCTCGCCAGCAGCCGAAATATCTACCAGGGTGCCTCCGAAGAGGAGCCCTGTTGATACTATTCGGCGGGTACGATACATCTAGGAGCACTGGCCTCCTCGTAACGACGGATGGACACCCTTGTGAATCAGTTTATCCCGGCCGTTTTTTCCCCCGACTTCTGAAGGAAGACAGGAACGGTCTCGACGGGTGCTGTGAGCCGAAAGGCACCATGGTGCCTACCGCCAGCATCGGGTCTGAGGGTTGGGCACAGGGGTCCTTGTGGTGTTTGAGTCTCGCAGCTACTTGACACGTCTAGAAGTCTAGTGGGGAGTATTCTACTCTTGCTTGACGAAGAGTGCCAGACACAGACTGCTTTTCGGGGCATTCCCTGTGCAGCGCACAGCCATCACCAAACTGGAGCGGGGAAGCTGGCTATGGTCGCCCTGCAGCTTTGAAAAGCAGCTTCGCAAGCGCGATGAACCCTATACTCTCGTCAACACTAAACGCCCAACAGCCCTAACACACACCAACGCCCCCAAAGCCCCAAAACCCTCAAGCCCTGAACCAACCCGAAAGCCCTGAAGCCCCTAGGCTCGTAATGCTGGTCCTGTTACGGGCAGGCTTTGGAGCTGCCTCAGCCAGTTGCTTCGCGCCGGGCTTCCTGGCATCGGGGTTCAGGGTTCAGGGTTCAGGGTCTACGGTTCAGGCTTCGGCTGAGGGTTCCAGGCTTTTGCAGAAAAGGGGATGTATGTATGTATATCACTGCATATATGTAACTGTATGAGCTGCAACTGTACGGAACTTCGCGTAACATCATGTACCTGTATGTACATGTGTGTACATATATATGCACGTACGTAGCTTCTGTGCAGGTATGTATGTATGTATGAAGTAAAATGAAATTTGCTGTGTAATGTAATGTAATGTCGTTCGTAATCTGATTAACAATGTAATGGAATGTAATGTAATGTTATGTAATGCTATGCTATGCATGTGATAAAGTCTGCTTGAGTCCCATTTTTTACAGCAAGCATGTGTTGACACATGTGTAGAACGCCGGTATTTGTTTTATGATTCTTCTTGTTATCATTATGTTTTTTGCTGGGTGGGGGTGTTATGGTGCAAGACAAGACACCTGTCGCCTACTCCGTCCCAACATGTACTTGGTTGTTGGCGTTGTTCCTGTCCGGTTTTCAGGTTCGGCGGCGGAAACGTTGATCTCTCTTTGTCCTTCATTGTCCTTCATGGCGATCCCAGCTGAATAGTGCCATTCTCATTACTTTCTTAATAAGCCTAAACCCTAAATCCTAAACCCTAAACCCCCAACAACAATACCGTCAGCTCATTTCGAAACTCCAAGGTGGTCAGCCGGGCCTTTGGCAACTGAGCCAAGGCATCCGGGAACAGCTGGACAGGCCTCGCTTGGGTTCTCCCAAGTGCTCTGAGGGTTTAGGGTTCAGGGCGGAGGCTGAAGCGGCTTCGGTTTTAGGATGATGATCCTCGCGGAGGCAGCTTCCTCGCGCCGTGCGCCGGCGCTTTCCCCCGGTGCCTGGCAGTGAGGGAAGCAGGATGGCGCAAGACAGAGCAAAAGACCTATAAGATCGCTTGTGTGGCCCTGCGTTTCTCCTGCACTCCTCATCGAAAGCACAGAGAGAAAGACTGGTGGTCTCTCTCAAATCTCTTTGTCTCTGTTTCGCGTCGCGACGCGTCGCGCCGCGCCTCCGCCCTCGCCTCGCGCCCCTGAGGCCTGCAGGAGGTTCGCGGGCGGGTCTTGCGACGCATGACGGTGGAGCTGCCAGGGGCCCCAGAAGGGCCGTGGCCGTTTGCTGTTGGTATACTTGGTACTAAAACTAGTAGAGTATGAAAGCAGTGGCATGGATCCTCCCACTCACCCCGACATCCTCGACTTGCTGACTCTGTCAGAGAGTTCTTGAAAGGTTGAAGAATCCGAGGTGCTGGACCCAGCCTTCGAGCTATACCGAGACCATGGATGCTACCTGCATTGCCCGGAGCTTGAGAAGCAAAAGGGTTCCGGGTTTCCTAGTTGAGGCCTCAGTGGTTCGGTTTGGGTTTCGGGGTTTGGGGTCGTACGGGTCGTACATAGCGCTTAAACACTGTAGTGATATTCCTCCTTAAGGGGTTTTTGGTAGAGTATGATGTGCCCCTAAACCGTAAAACCCTATACCCCGAAACCCGAAAGCCCTAAACCCTGTATCATACCCTAAAATCCGAGAACCCTAAAACCCTATGCCCCATAACCCCAAAACCCTAAAGCCCTAAACCCGATACCCTAACACCCTACAGCCCCAGACCCTGTACGCCCAAACCCGACATTAGGTTTGTCTCCAGCTACCTGAGGCGATGGGTGCTGACGGCGTGGTTGAGGTTGTGAATGCCAGAGGCTGGATCCGTTATAGTACAACAGTACATAACAGCCATTAAAAAATACAATATACTACAGGAAAGTATAAATAGTATAATATATGTATCCTATCTTCTCTGAGATTATACTGTAGGTTTCATAGTATATACAGATGATCGAACATAAAATGAATGGCAGCGGCCGGAGCCCTGCTGCAAGTCTCATTGGGATAGCTCTTGTGCAGGCTTCCATGGTGCCGCCTATGGGGTGGACCAAACGGCTTATCGCCTGCAGTCCAAGGCGGACTTGAGGGTCTGGCAAGAATTGCTCTGGACAGGTTGGTTTGTCCGTGTATGAGAAGAAGAATATATATATATATATGTATATATGTATATATATATATATATCTCTCTCTCTCTCTCTCTATCTCTGTCTCTCTTTGTGCGTGTGCGTGTGTCTATATATGATTATGTATGTACAATTTGCCCAGTCACCCACTGCAAGAAACCATGATTGTACATTTATCGACTTAGAATGCGTTGGGGGTTTATCACTTCGGCTTGGCTCGCGGTGTGATGTTGCATGAGTGGTGTTTAGGAATGCACATAGATCCAGCAAACCATGTTCACACGAACGTAGCAATGATGCGGTATGTACTTCTATATCGTTGGCTGCTGCAAGAGTTCGAAACCTGAAAGCCGAAGCTCTACACCCCGAAACCTTATACCCTAAGCCCGAAAGCCTAAATCCTGAACCCTAAACCCTAAACCCTAAACCCTAAACTTTTCCTGCAGGGGGTGGATTCCCTTTTCGGGGCGATCAGCCACCTGGGCACAGAGCGGCAGAAGGGAACCGACCTCCAGTCAACAGCTCAGCACTGGTCCGAAGTTGGAGATCCAGAAGCCTTGACTTGAGGTTCGAATAACAACTCCTTTAAAGATACTATTATTATTAGTATTCGTATTCTTCTTCTTCTTATTCTTCTTCTTCTTATTATTATTATGAATTATTATTATTGTTATTATCATCATTATTATTATTAACTCCTTTAGGCTTCCTTTGGTGAGATTGCAGCAAAACCCTGTTCTAATTGCTCTCCCCCTCCAGTGTCTGGATGGCAGCACCGAGGCTCAGGGTTTCATGTTGCGGCTTAGGGTGGATCGCAGGTAGTAGATTCATCTAGGCTGCTTTTGGGCATTTCATACTTCCACATGAGGGTAGTTCTCTAAATTAGGGCCTTTTTTGAATCCCCATTATAGTACGGCACCCTTAGGACCCTAACAGGGACCCTAATTTAGAGAACTACCCATGAAACGGGCTCCTTGCTTCTCTGCATGCGAGCTTTCTTCCAGGTCCACCCTCGAGAAGCAGATGCTGTGCAAGCAGCTGATGCAGGCTGGACGGAGAAAAAAGCAGCAGGATCAGATCTGGAAATGTTGATGTGCCCCACCCAATTCCTTTAAACTCTATAAGCCCCAAACCACTGAAACCTAACTCCCAAAAGCCCAATTCCTTCAAACTCTAAGCCCCAAACCACTGAAACCTAACTCCCAAAAGCGTCTTTCCCCCAACGTCCAAGGTGAGGCTCGACCTGCTGCCCGAGCGAGTCACGGACCTCTTCTTCGTCCTGGCGGTTGGGGGCTAAGTTTAGAACATATGTATATGCACACATATGTATATACATATGTGATATGATATGATGTGATATGATATGAGGTGGTAATTAAGATATCAATCTGATGCCGCGAACTTACAGGAGTCTCTATACGGGGGTTTGGACGTGTCCTTTCTTGCCCGGACCGGCAATGGAGTCCTTTCGTGTCATGATGGTGCTCGCAAGTTCCGCAAGCTCGATCCCCTCCTCCAAAAGCGACGGCGCAGCGGTCGTTTAGCCGTGTGCTCTCTAACAAGGCAGACATTTGTGGAATCTGCAAGTGGAATGTGCCCACCACAGTTCTTGTCACGACGCGAACGGCTTCGCTGATCTCGGAGGGCGCAGGTTCAAGTGGCAATGCAAGGCACTCGCTCGTTCGCTCCCATCGTTTCTCGCCGCTCACCCACTTTACTCATTGTAACACTTCTTCACTCATGTCGCTTTTCGTTGCTCCACTCCACCCGTGACCCACCTATCTGCACCTGCTACAATCGTGACCTCCCATGTCATGTATTTTACACCCTTTGGGCCGTGCTGCTATCATTCCATGCGCTTTCGTACTGGAAGGCAAGGGCTGAGGAGCAGCCGAATCGAAAGGTCAGCGTTGATGCGTCTGCCGGGACATGTTGTTGCAAGTATACTGTGTGCATACTGAGAATCTTCAACACCCAGACTAGAGGGCCGTGGCCGTAAACCCCTCATTACGTAGCCCTTACTCCTTTCTTCCCTAGGCCACCAACTCCCGGGAGTTGAGCAAGTTCCAGCACCTGGGCTTCCGCGTCGTGACTGGGACAGCAAGAACACAGGAGCTGGCCGAAAGACAAGCTCCGAGCCCAAGCCCACGAGCGACAGTAGGTTTGGACGTAGATGAAGTCGGACATAAAAGTCAAGCGGCGCGTACGTCGGCCTCGAGAATCAGGAGCGCTGCGATGGGACCATGTGCTTAGGGATCGGAAAGAGGGCAACATGGGGGTGAGGGATTTTTCCTTCATCGCCAAATCCCCTAGTCCCAGAGCGGAGCTCCTTTGGCAATCCAAAGTTAGCGTCTTGAGGTGGACAGTGACATCGGTGCCAACCTCGCCCACAAGGAGGAGTGAGGGACGCCTCTGCCTGTGGTAGCATAGGGGCAGCCAAGGTTGCACATGTATGGGGCATTCTGCCTGCTGCGACTCCAGGACCACCGACTTCAGCTTACCTTCGAGGTGAAGATGAAGGTCCAGGGCCTTGTCGGACAAGTGTGGCCTGTGGCAGGCGGTGGTCATCATGTGTGCGATCTACAAGTTGGGTTCGGAAACCCAGGGGGCCAAGAGAAGTTTCATCAAAGGTGAAGCAGCGAAATAAGGGCTCCCTTGGATGGAGGTGACGGCTACTGGAGGATCGGATCCATGGACGTGACTTGCTTCGGCCTGAAGGTATGGTGCAGGAATCAGAAGTTCAGGACTCAGTCTGCTCTCATCCTTCGCAAGGTTCCGGCTCTCCGCGGGATCTGAAGACGGCCTTGATGAAGCTGGAAGAGTGGCTGGGCCCAGCTTAGCCGAACAACAGCCTCAGCTTCTCGTGTCGACCGCCCTAGTGATATCACAGGCTTGTGTTGCAGAAAGTCTGTCGGGTATGTTGATTCTGGCTGATTCTCTCTCAATGATGATGATCATCAACGTTGCGGCTGTTTGGGGAGGAGGGGGCCGTGCCAGCGTGCCAGTTTAGGAACTGCGCACGCTACTTGAATTTATTGCTGTAGCCTGCAACAAGGCACGAATCACCACAACTGCTGGTAACAAGCGGAGTGGTTCACGATGGGTTTAGCACACAACGTTTTGGGGTCTGTAGGGTTTAGAAGCCCCCCAAGCCCTTAACCCTATACAGCCCTAGGTAACCTCAAAGTGCTGGGTTCACGGATTGTGTGAGGTTTCTTGGGCAATGTACGAGCGAATTATTCGATTGCTGCCTACGCTTCCTCTTGTAATCCCAGTATAGAGCCCCCAAACCATGTTCTTGTTAGTTATTGAGCCTTTTGATTGAAATGGCTTCCCACAAGCCCATTTAAAACCCTAGAAACAGCCGTATTGACACCGATGGAAGAATTAGAGAACCACCAACGCCAGACCCCTTGTAAATCGTTGGTCTCATCTAGGCAACCTAAACCCTGGCCCCCTGGCCCAAGATCTTAAACCCTCAGCCCTGCAACTTAAACCCCTAAACCACAAACCGCAAGACCCTAAACCGGGTAGCCAGCCTAATCTCAAAGTTCGAAGCTTCACGCTGGCACCTTACAGCCTCCACATTTTGGCAGGATCCTAAATCTCAAACCGCAAATCCCCTATAATATATTCGCCCATAATCCTAAAACCAAACCCTGAACCGCGAACACTCGTGTCAAAACTTGCACCCAAGCTCGAAAGCTCCAACGCAAGACCGAAGATCAGACGAAACACAATCCCAAAATTCACTCTGTACCTGCAGAACATCTGGAGTCCTCGATGTAATAGCTTCCCTTGTCATGGCATGGTCATGCATGGTTGGGTCACATCGCTGCTGGGCTCAGCGAACATGCTCCAGCCACTTCAGCCCTCACTAACAATGACGACGCAACCGACGCAGCCCTGATATCCCAACACTTCTTTGCTAGTGTGTCCGAAATGCAGCTTAATCGAGGCAAGAGATTCCGTCCAGGCGCCGCTAGACCGGATGACCTTCGACTGCGACGCTGCTAGGCGCGAAGTTCGTCGGTGCTAAATCCCGCTGCAGCAGAGCATCGCTGACCGAGATGTTCTCCGCAAGCAGCTGGAGGACACTCGTGGCGAAAGGGGTGCCCTGCACACCAGGATCTGCTGGACCAGTTGACTCGCGCAAAGCACAGCATCCAGACCAGCAAGCCGCCGTGCAACGTGGTCCTCTTGGAGGGCTCGGCGCACTTGCCAAAGCTTGCAGTCCATAAGGGCCTAGCCGTGATGAACGCAGGCGGGCACTGGCGTCATTGCCGCACGTGATGAGTCGGATACCTGGTCGGAGTTGGGCACGGCACAACGCTTTCTTGACACTCGCAAAACCTTTGTGGGCGCCGACATTCTGGCTGGCATGTCTGTCTGCGTCAATCTATGTGTCGGTGGGCTTGGCTCCGTGCACCATTCTGGGGGTGGCACTTTCTTCGCCAAAGCGCTTCGCATGGGAGAGGTCGAGCCAGCGCATTTTTTTGATGCCTCAGGATTTGGCCGCGGAAAGATTCTGGGTGAGCCAAGGTTTCCAGCGATGCAATCCTCAGAACTTGGGCATGACTGATCTTCTTACACTCTCCCTTGCTGATGAAAGCAGCTGCGGATAGTAGACAAGGAAAGCTCCTCCAGTATTCTCACCAGGGGTCAGCCGTAGTGATTGCAGTTAGCCACGCATGGCCTTGGGCAGAGTTCTTCGGTTGCTTTGGAATTGCTATATATCCAAAAAGGCACTTGGTGTATCTTGGTGTTTCTTTCGTCCGATCAAGCTGCTGAGTTGGTATTTGCAGGCTCCGGCTTCACCGCGTCAGACGACTTGGCTACAGTTGAGCTAGGCATGCAGATGTTCGAAATTTGATATTGCACGTGTCGAGCTTGGCAGGCTTGGGTGCACATGTATCATTTGTTATCGTTCGTCCTGCCCTTTTGGTTCAAGCCGTGGCAATTGAGCCAAACAGGCAGGTTCTTCTGCCGTGATTAGTTTCAGGAGTTGTTACCTGTTATGGCTGATGAGCCTAATCTTACGGAGGGGGGTACGGTACCACCAGGCCTACATTGGCGACACCGGCCTACCTGGATTGGCGCCGTCGTCTCCAGCAGCTGCGCGAGGCCGGCAGGCGAGTGGAGTGTCTTATCCACTGGAGCAGGGTTCGAAATTCAGCATTTCCCTCCCGTGTTCAACCGCATCCGAGAGCTTAGCGGAGAGGGGATGTTGGCTGCATCTGTTGACTTCGCTGCAGAACCCGTAGAGGGGGATTCCAATTTCCTTTTATCGGGTCTTTCTCGAGAAGGGACGTGCTGGTTGCCCCTATAATACTCCGCCTGTTGCGGGAGATACTTCCAGCAATGGTAGAGTGCGTGGCTGAGAGCTTCCACCCGCGCTTTCGCAGGGTGCCGAACTGATCTGGTTGGTATGGAGGGAGTGGCAGGACGCCGAGCGTCGCTGGAGCGACCCGTCGCTTGAACCAGTTGCCACTTGGGAGGTGGCCCGGGCCAATGCCAAAGCACGAGCTGGCAGTGGCTTGGCATTGTTCAAGCAGACGATGACACCAGATTCTGCGTGCGCCAATCTTGTGGCCTCCCGACAGGTCTTATCTGTGGCCACTGTGGTGACGCCTGCTGCAGAGAACGCCGATCATCATGCAGGATGCGCTCAGGGGCAGACTGCTGGAACGGTCGGACGTGGTGTGGCCAGCAGGGAGTTGACCCCTATGAGCTGGTAGCCACCGGCGAGCAGTGGAGCTCCGTTATTTCTGGGCATATTTTGTCTGGCGGTGGCGACCCAGTATGTCTTAACTCTTCCTTCTCCTCTCGACTTCCTGCTCAGTCGGCGAAACAATAACAGGTGCTCAGCTCAGGGCCAGCTAGCAGCAGTCATGGCGGGGGTATACGCGAAGCAGTCCATGGAAACGGCTGGAGGCGGCTGGAGGCGAGGAGCGGGAGCCGGCTTCATCTTCGGCTAGCCTATTTGGCGAGGGGTCGCGCTCGGAAGTACCAGATGGCAGACCATGCAGGCGAGTGGGCGAGTTGAGCGCCGGTCGCCAGGCTGAGTGGGAAGCCTGTGTGAGGCGATGGGTCGCAAAGTCGCAAAGTGCAGCCGAGCTGGCTACAGTCACGCGAGCCCAGCTCTGAACCGTGGTGCCAGTCCATTGTTCCAGACTCCTATGGACCCTGTCTTGCCACTGCATCGACCAGGAGCATGAAGGCTGGTAAGAAGGGGAGACATTGTGGCTCACAGCCAAGGCTGCCACTCCCACGACTCCGGCTGGCCGAGGCGATGGCGATGCCTGAGTATATTGGTCGGTGCAAGGTATCTCCCGCGCTGCGAGATGGTACAAAGCTGTGCCCGGCCTACAACTTGCGGCGCTGCAGGTTCGAGAGGGAGGACTGTGCAGAGCAGCACCGATGCCTAATTATATGGTATCCTAAATTTCCTCGAACAAGGCATCTATGGTCGTATCGGCACAGGGGGGCTCAATGCCTTGAAGGAGCGGCAGCATGAGCCGGAAAGGGCGTTGACCCCTGCTATTCATGCTGCCTTCTCGACGGTACGCGCCGTCCTTGGCTTGAGGGTGTTTACTCGACTGCATCCGGTAAGGAAAAGCCGTGATAGGTTCAAGGCAGTCCCGGAGCCCTGGGAGGTGACCCAGGGCGTCCGGCAGAATGCCTATCCGGATGTGTTACCAAAGCACTTCCTGTGAGTGTGTACACAGGTTCTACGATGACATGGCGGTGCACCGTGAAAGGGAAAAGCCAGTGCGAGTGAAAGCAGTAGCATTAAGGATGCGATTAACGAATGAATTCGGTACACTTCAGCAAGCCCGTCTCGCAAATAATTGCAGCATGCCTTGGTGTGTGGTTGCATCAGTGTTCCGATTAACTACATGCAAATCCCAGGCCGTCGCCCAACACCCCCGAAATCCCAATATACCCAACCCACACATGAGGCCCAGCTTGAGGTATGCTCCGAAGGATTTCTTGATTTTCGGGTGCCCCAAACAAGCAATACCCACATGCACGCCTAGGCTGGGATTCCCTCGCAAGCACGAGCGAGCTTCACAGGACAGTCTTCGAGGTGCAGGGTTCGCAAGGTTTCCGAACCTCTTGGACCCAGGGTTCCCGGATTCCCTCGTGCTGAGAGGGCAGTAAGCCCTCCAAACTGTAATTAAAACATTGTGAACATTATGCTGTAAACTATTTATGCGTTAAGGGCCCGAACTGCAGGAGCACATGGTGCTCGAAGCCGTGCGGAAACACCTGGAGTTGCCCCGGCAATGCGCAGGGAACTCGAGAGTCAGGGGGGAAGTGTCGCGTGTCCAGTGCCCCTACGCGACACTACAGCACTACAGCTGCATCAACGCAGACGTGTGGTGACACCCCTCCCTGATTCCTGAATTTCGGGCGATGTTTTTGACAGGATTTTGCCAGTCTAGCCCACGCCCTGTCCGATTTGGCGCAACCGAAATGCATCATAGGTGAAGCCCGCGGACGTCCACGTGGACAGTTGGAACCCCAGCTCGCAGACATCACTCATCACTCCGCCTTGCCGCTTGGGGCAGTCGCAGCCAAAACAATAGAAACATGTAGGTCGTCGTCGTCGTGGAACTGATAGTGGCTCTAGACATGGTGTAGCAGTAGGAGAAAGCGGTGGAGCTGTCATCGTCGTAGTTCTCGTCGTGGTGGTAGTCGTCGTTGTCGTGGAGATGGCGTTGGAGATGGTGGTGGTGGTCTTACACGCAGCAGGAGCAGCAGCACATGAATGCATGTTTTGTCCTTGGTCGTGCGGAGATGTTCATGTGCGTGGTCTTTTCTGAGGTTCGAACTGCATGCACGTCCAATATGCCATTGAGGCAGGAACTGGCAACATGACAAAGAAAAGAGCTCATGTTGTTTGCAATTACCGCAGGTCACAACTTCCGAGCACGAGGAGTTGAGTGGCGAAGCGCTGAGGACTCCACGACAGAGTTTGCAAGGCAATGCTCTCAAAGCCTGAAAGATCCCGACGAAAGCCTCCACCCGCTGCAAGCCGACCTCCTTTCCCGCCGAGATGCCTCCGAAGCGATGGCAAAAGGCACGGCCATCATGGGACGATGGCTCAGGGAATCTTGAGGGTCTTGACAGAGAAGTGATACATAGTCAGGATAGTTCAGTACCTATGGAGAGCAACGCAATGCCGTGACTAGGATCATTCCTGCCTTCACTTTGCGAACCTCTCAAACCCCTTGTTGAGTCCTGAGCTGTCGAAAAGCCAATGAAACACTCCACCACGAAGTCTTCACATCTAGCACTCCTAGATCCGAGGCCATCCTAGACCCTAACACAGGCTTTCAGCTGAAGGATAGTTTGGAGATGCCGAAGCTGAAGGAGGCGATCCTCGAGGCGCTGCAACACTCAATAAGTAAGAGGAGACCAGCTGCTATATTACACTGTGTATTATACTATATCATATATCATATCATATGATAGTATATTGTGTTCTGCTATACCCCTTCTGAACCTCCACTAGACTGACCGTACTGTACTATACCGTGCCATACTATACCATACTCTGCTATACTGTACCGTATTCTGTTAGACGAGACTAGGCCAGACCCGACCGGACTAGAACGGCAGAGTAGAGGAGAGTACAGCACAGTCAAACATGATAATGTAGTTCAGGGCTGAGGGTGCCATATCGAGGACGACGACGATCATGAGTTTTCATATGCAACAGTCAGACCTTTCCAGATGTCGTTGTGGACGTAAGTGTCCCAAGGGCGTAGGGCGTACGCGGTTGGCTGCGACTTTTCGTTCTGGAGCATTCTATGGAATCTTTGAAAAGCTTCTCATCCCAGTACGGAAGTCCCCAAAGCCCTTTGCAACCACGCTGAGTGTGCTGTCGCTGTTGTTGTTTGCGTCACCGTCGTCATCGTCAGTGTCGCGTTCTTGGCCGTGAGACATGTGAAGCCAGCGAGTCGCTTGTGCATTGAAAGCGTGGAGACACAGGAGATGCTCCGGTTCACCAACGAGAAGGTCAAGCCGGAGAGGCTGAGGCCGTGCAGAAGTTTCAAACTCGCGGTGTACAGGTCTCCTGTGACGTTCTGCATCCCTGCCACGGTGGCTAGTATGGAGCGTATACATACTGTATAATATTAAGATACATCTGTGTTTGATATAGTTATGTATATATATATATATATATAATATACACAAAATTAATCACCGTCTTTTCTTTTGTTGCTCCGGATGCGAATACTCCGAGCCAAGCTGTGAGCTCTTCAGGATCCTCCCTGTGGTTGTGAAGCCACTCGGCGATCTCCGCGTTGAGGCGCTTCGTTCGGTCACTGGTGCACAATCGCTCCCCCGTATAATACATTCTGTACTACAATATACAAACACCTAGAGAAAGTATAATGACCGCATCTGCTCCTGTGGCTCGGAAAACATTCAGCGGGAGCTTCTTTTTTGTGCCTTGGGCCTTGGGCGTAAAGAAAGGCTCGCAGCACAAAGCAGTTGGCACGTTTGCTTGCTTGCGGAGGTCCGCTGGGAGTTTGGTGAGGTGAAGCGCACCGACAACAAGGATCACAGCTACTTGGCCGGGGCCTGAGGCCACGATTCACCATATCGACATGCCACAGTTTTGCCGAAGGCAACACCAAACACGATGGCTCTTGAGCAAAAAAACATATGTCACAGACACTGCATACATGTTTTTATGTAAGCAAGTATATATGTATGTAGGTCTACATAGCTCTATATATACATATATGTATATTTATATGTACGTATCGCTCTCTCTCCCTCTGTCTCCCTCCTCGTTGGTATAATTGTTTGCAAAAGCTGCCCACCTATCTATCTATCTATCTATCTACCTACCTGCCTACCTACCTACCTATCTATCTATCTATCTATCTATCTATCTATCTATCTATCTGTCTCTCTGTCTCTCTGTCTCTCTATCTCTCTACCGACCTACCTGCCTGCTGCCTACCCACCAGCCAGCCAGCCAGCCAGACAGCCAGCCAGCCAGCCAGCTAGCTACCTGCCTGCCTGCCTGCCTGGCTGGCTGTCTGTCTGTCTGTCTGTCTGTCTGTCTGTCTGTGTATCTAGAATCTATCTGCCTGTCTCTCTATCATTCTATCACTCTAATCTATCTATTTATCTATCTATCTATCTATCTATCTATCCATCTATCCATCCATCCATCCATCTATCTATCTATCCAGCTATCTACATACCTACCTATCTATCTACTTGCCCACGT